AAAGAATTAACCAAAGAGAAGATCAAAAAACAGTTAACTGTAATTATCAAGTCATAGTAAACAATCGCTCATCAAGAATAATTCTTTCGAGCAGCTTACATATGCCGCTGAATCTATGGATTAGATAGAGCTATAGCTAATCCATAGACTGCAGTCTAGAAAAAGAACAAATGCAAAAGTTATAAAATTAGCTTTAGAATCTTCACATAAAAAGCTAATGAAAATGTAACGAGTAACTAATACTTACTACGTCACTGCGTATACGTCAAAAGAAGCATTAATGATAGCCAATTGGCTATCATAGTTGAAACAAGCATAATTAAGGAAGATTTATTAAAAGAATGCGATATATCGCATTCTTTTAATAAATCTGAAGACCCTGAACTTGCTGTTCGACATTATAATGTCGAACAGCAAGTTCAGGGTCTTCAGCCTAACAATAAATATGGAAAAGAACACATTCTGTTCCAACATTTTCCAATCTGCAGGATGATGGATGGAAAAACATCTCACGTCAACTTTTTTTTAAAGAATATGTAAAATAATTCAATTTGGTTAAAAAAAATTATTATGTTTTTTTTACTTTTTTGGGGTTTATCATGTTCAAAAAAAATTTTCATGGTCAGAATCTTACGTGAGGGATAGTGTATACCACATCTCACCAAAGGGGAGGGGGATTCCAAATCAGAAAAATATCTCACGTCATAAGATTAAACTCTTTTAATTTGACTAAAATTTTAAAATTGTTGGTATTACCCCACTAAAATTTCAAAAAATGGTGCTGACTGGCTTAGCGGGAAGTTTTTTTAATTTTTGGCTTGTAAACTGGTTTCAAAATAATTCAAAAAACCATATTCTATGAAATGTTTTTTTTTCACAGAAAAAAACATAATTTTTTCTTTCTTTTAAACATTTCGCAACTTTGTTTTTATAATAAAATAAATTTAAATAAATATAAAAAAATATAAAGAAAAGTTGGTTTAAAGTTTTTTATGGAAAAAAGTAAAAAGAATAAAAATTGGCAATTTTTTTCCCAAAAACTCCATTAAATAAAAAAATTTGTCATTTTTTGAAAAACTAATAGGTAAACGCAGCAAATTTCTGGTGGGAAAAAATAATCGTATTTAGTGGTAAAATCAGGTTTAAAAGTAATCGATTTGGCGTGAAATGCCCCATCTATTGCTAGTTTTATAAAATATTAGGAATGGTTCTTGTTGTAAAGGAATACAATTATTTCTGCTATATTCAAAAATATATAAAATGTTATAGTATAACCTGGCTATGGCCCTGTTATCAGAATAGAAAACCACGAAAGATGGGCGCCGCGGCGCGCCGGCATAAAATAATCCAAGGGGTGCAAAAAAAATACGTGCAATTTTAAGTACCTATGTTTAAACATTTAAATGAGATTTTGTATGGTATTTTAATTTCACAGGAGGGGGGTCGACTGAAACATGTTATTCAACACCCGCAAGGAATACGTAACTAAAATTGATTTTAAGTTCCTTGCGCCATAATTGTTTTGGTTCTTTAATTGTTTATAATTCGTTTTTACACTGTATATATATATACAGGGTGTCCGGGAAAAGGAGATCAATCCGTTAACCATATATTCCTTGAGTTAAAACAATAAGACTTTCATAATACCATTTTTCAATTTACAGCTTCATGTTCGATATACAGGGCGACAAAGTTTGAAATTTAAAACTGATTTTTTTTTAATAATTCGAGTAATTGGTAAGATACTAAGTTTAAATTCGGTACACTACTTCAACATAAATAGTTACATTTTTTGAGACCAACAAAACAAAAAACAATTGTCAAATAATTAAAATAGGGGGGTCCAGTACTCACTGACTCCCCCTATTTTTTAGTACGTGCGCCAATGACTTCCAAACGTTATTTTTTCAGGTAATCATTTATTGTTAAAAAAAATTTGTCTCTTATAAAATTTTGATAAAATGATTTGTTTTAGAGATAATTTGTAAAGTATGGGTCAGTCCATATCAAATCAACCAAAGGTTCTTCCCCCACCATCTCCGATTTTGATCATTTTTGGTAAATTTGTTTACCTCACTAAAAAACTCAAAAATCCCATATATGAATTTTTTTCGATTGGTGGTTTTTGTTTTATTAATTTTTGAAAATCAAAAAATTCCGATAAATTTGGGTCTAGCAAGTACTTACAAAAATAGCGATATCTCGTAAACTATTAAAAGTAGAAAGGTGAAAGATGGCTTATTTTAAAGGCCTATTAGAGAACTTTTTTATGATATATCACATGACCTACATTTTTTCAAAAAAAAATTAAATTTTGAAAATTTGATATGGACTGACCCATACTTTACAAATTATCCCTAAAACAAATCATTTTATCAAAATTTTATAAGAGACAAAACATTTTCAACAATAAATGATTACCTGAAAAAATTCCGTTTGGAAGTCATTGGCACACGTACTAAAAAATAGGGGGAGTCAGTGAGTACTGGACCCCCCTATTTTGATTATTTGACAATTGTTTTTTTGTTTTGTTGGTCTCAAAAAATGTAACTATTTATGTTGAAGTAGTGTACCGAATTTAAACTTAGTATCTTATCAATTACTCGAATTATTTAAAAAAATCAGTTTTTAATTTCAAACTTTGTCGCCCTGTATATCGAACATGAAGCTCTAAATTGAAAAATGGTATTATGAAAGTCTTATTGTTTTAACTCAAGGAATATATGGTTAACGGATTAACCTCCTTTTCCCGGACACCCTGTATAAATATTTCTTGCGGTAACTATAGGTAAATAAAATATTTTGTTCGGCTATTGGTCGAAAGATGAGATTCAGCCTTATATAATTATTTTCTTTATCAACAAAATTGCCAGTAATCGCAGCATAAAAATGCCAGTAATTTTAAAGTTTCACCAGTAAAAAGGCAGCGGGGCGTTTGGCAAAAGACTGTATTATGCGACTTTAGTGGAAGGAAGAGTAGGTATACCTACTCTTCCTTCCACTAAAGTCGCACAATACAGTATTTTGCCAAACGCCTCGCTGCCTTTTTACTGGTGAAACTTTAGAATTAAGTAGGTATACCTACTCTTCCTTCCACTAAAGTCGCACAATACAGTCTTTTGCCAAACGCCTCGCTGCCTTTTTACTGGTGAAACCCTAGAATTACTGGCATTTTTATGCTGCAATTACTGGCAATTTTGTTGATAAATAATATAATTATATAAGGCTGATGGCTTATGCTAATTTTAATGAAACGTTTTTTTTTTGCACAATATAAAACGAATCGTTTTAAAATGAAACGATATAGGTAAAATCTGGGAAACTGGAAATCCCAAAATAAAACTGGGATCCCAAAACAAAATAGCGCTCAGCCGTCGCGACTTTTTTTGTCTTGGATAGAGATGCTAATATAAATCGATAATGAATAATGTTTAAGAAATATAAGTAAATATAACTGTGTGTATTTAAAGGAAAACAATTACTGGCAAATTACTAGGATTATCTTAATACCCGCAGTTTTAATGACATAACTAGGAAATGTCAGTAATTCCTGGCAAATCGGCAACCCTGTAGATACAGAACTTTTGTTTAGGGGGCGATAGCCAAAATTACATCCTGTTACATATCGTCACCCTAATATAACAAGGTTTTATGTTAAAAAAACGAAAAATTTAAGTTTATGTTTCTACAGGATTATACGTGGCCTACGCTTCACATACCACATAAAAACAATTCTATGTATACAGTTATTTTCAAGTTGTATGTCAAGAGTGGATTACATAAAACCTTGTAGAAGCATAAACTCAAATTTTCAAGGTTTTTATAAATACAACCTTGTAAGATATATTAATATTAGGGTGACGATATATAGTTATTTCTGGCCAACAAAATCTTATCTCGGCAGTTTTAAATGCTAGCAAAAAGATTTTGGCAGATTTAAATTCTCCTTGAAAGTCATTAAAAAACTATCTAATCTGTTTTATAAAATTTACAAAAAAAATAGTTTGGTTAAAAATACAACAAACATTTATTTGAATGATTTATTTATATAGAAAACAATAATATTCACCATTTATATCACATTTTTGTAAAATTTATTTACCCAAATAAACACAAATGGAAAAAATCTTAATAGCAAATATGTAGCTAAAACTGCATAAATTAAATACATATGTTTATAAAGCCTATAGGCTCTAAAATCTGTGTACCACAGACCTACAATTGTAGGTCTGTGCTGTGTACTATTTTTTTTTCAGGCGTTGCAAAAATAAAACTTTAAACTTAGTCAGTCTATCTACTTATTTATAAGGATACTTTTATAAGAATAGAAAATTTCTAAACGAAATTATTTACAAGTATTACTAAGATTCCTTATTTGAACTAATTTTGAAAGTTGGATAGTAAAAAAGATTTTGTTGTTTTTTCTTTAATATTTTAAAAATAAACAAATAGGTAGGTAGTATTTTGTAATTATTTGATAACCCAGCTAATCTATTGATCTTTGAGCATGCAACATATAAATTGTGTTTCACTGATATAAAAAATTATCATGCATTTCAAAATTAAATAAACAATTTTGTTATATTTTCATAGTCTATATTTTAGTAAAATTCAATGATTTAATCGCAATGCATTTACCAAACAAGTTTACAAAATTTATGGTACCTACTACTACTAAAAATTAAACCCATATAGAAATCTTATAATTAATAAACACAAATAATTCCACTATTGCTTTAATAAGGGGAAACTACACCTATGATTTCATATAAATTATACAATTAATTAAGTTTAATTTCATATTTTTTTTAACCTTTTCTGTATACCTAGTAGGTAGGTATTACCTAGCCAAAAAATGTACTTTATAAAAATTAGTTTATTGTTTATTGAGGTACTTAATTTGGTAATGAGGTAATAAATATTCCTTCAGTTTTAAACTGTACGTATCAATTAATATACATACTTGTATCAAAATGGCCTTAATGTTTTTGATTTTTAAATTAATTTTTTGCTGGTATAGAACTTGTGATGTAGGCATACAGACGTTTACCCCACCAAGATTCAAGATCAAATGGCTTAAAATCTTGCAGAGATGAAGAAGGTTCTTCTTGAAAGTATGTCACTATATGATTATCTAAAAACATAATATTTTAATTATACAATTTTTGTTGATGTTATATTATTATTCTTATAAACTTACTGTTGTTCCCACTCCTTTCTGCATGTGATGTTTCCAATTCACTATAAACTGAATTCCAAGCTGAAATCACAACAAAAAAGTGAGGTTATTATAAAAATTATGATGTATTTTTTTTAAATATTCTACCTAAATAGCCATTTATACCTACATTCGTTTATATATTTAATAATTTCTTCGTGATGTGGCGTTATAACTTCGTGCTGGCTATTATTTGTTGAATATTTCTTATGGAAAATTGGTTTTGAAACACTAAAATTATTGTAAACTTTAAAATACCGCTTTATATATTAAATTGTTTTACTTACTTTCCATTATTAGGTTGTTCAGAATCCATTATTTTATTTTTGTTATGATCACGAAAATTATCAATATTTTGCGGAGGTCCTAAAAGTATGTCTTCAAATGTTAACCTAAAAACCTACTATTTTTTTTCGTTACCTCGTCTTGTAGTTTTGGCAACAATTTTGCTGGGGCCTTTTACATTGTACATGATAACAAAATTAAAAGGATAATCATACGTGTTAAGTAATTTTGAATAATAATACAAGGTCTAAAAAGTTAAAAAATTAAGTAATTCTGTGAAATTAGCAACATACGGTGCGACGTTGCCTGATCCTTTGTTTGTAACTTTACTAAAAATAAATACCATACAATTTTAAAATAAATTAAATTAAAAATCACAACAGCCCCCCTAAAATTACGAACCCAAAGTATTTTTCAATGTTTATTAAAGTATTTTCCAATAAAATTAAAAATGTTAAGCTCTCTTGGCAACAGGGTTAATTGTAAACGACATGTGATTTTATGAGGTTATGCTTGTGTCTGTCAAAAAGGTTTTAAATATTTGTTTCATGGATACATCATTAATTTGATTGTGAATAAAAAGTTAAAAATTTCCCTGAAACATTTGGTTACGTTGAAGAAATGAGTGCAGCAATAGTTAGGCAAGCTTTAGAGTTTGTGGACCCCTCTTTTAAAGTGGTTTCAGGTGTGTAGATTTAATAGATTTCTATTAATATTAATTAGTTAATTAACTAAAGGTTAAATTTTAGGAAAGAAAAAATCTAAAGCAAAAAAAGGCAAGGAAGTTTTTGACCTTATATCCGACAATCAAAAATTATTTATCAAAAGGAATCACAATAAAAAGAAAGGTAAAGTTGGTCCTATATATGCACTAAATGATGTGCTAATATGAGATGAATGTGAAAGTAAAAATGGTCATAAATTTTATGACAAAAAGTTTTGGGAAACATACCTACCTAGTGTAGAAAAACGCAACACCCTGTAATTTATTACTGTATGATCCAGTAAAAAAATTAAAGAACTTTTAGGATACATTTTGTTTCTTTATATTTTGTATTAGTACATCACTTAGGATCACCTGGATTATTCATGTTATCGGTTTAATTTTGTAGCTGAAAAGGTTAATTTACTATCAACAAGTACAAAATACACAGTTGTAGAAGCTAAAAAACTACATAAATCAAAAGAGCAAAGAATAAAAGAAAATTTGAAGAAGCTGAAGTTAATAAGAAAAGCATGTACTATTGAATTAGATAGAATCACCACCAAACAGATTATTGATAGAGGTATCACAAAGAGACCAGTTAAAGCAAGACCAAAGTCAAAACCTGTTAAAAAGACTGCATTTACTGAAGAAGATTTCAAGAAGTTTGAAGAGGAATATGCTGGATAAAATGGGAATATCAGATAGAACTATTGGCATTATCAAACTTACATTAAGCATAAGTTTTTTAGTATATTTATTTTTACTAATAATAATAATTCCCATACTACCAGTAGACAATATTATACTTCTTGACTACACTCCACCAGAAATAGTACTTGTGATATGTGGGTTATTTGGATTTGTTTTCGTTGGTAGTTTGGTAATTTTTACTGTGTACATTATGTATAAGCCTGAAGGAAGAAAAAAACAAAAATAAAGCAATAATTTTTGTATTGTCTTATAAATAAAAATACATTTTAACACTTAAAACAATTAATATGGACCTCTTCCCATTCCTCCCCACCAGGACCTAAAACAAAAAAATCAATTAATACAGAATGAAATATTTTTTATTTTGCTTACATTTGTCTGTACTGAACCGATCTCTCTGAACTACCAAAGGATCTTCCTCGCGATCCTCTGGATATTCTTGTAGAAGCCAAAAGCTCCCTACTGATTTTATTGTAACCTGTAGGCCCAGTAGGTTGCGCGCCACAAGTCTCCAGTGCCACAAAATCATCGACGTGGAGCGATGGAGGCCTGGAAGTATTTGGAGGTCTCGATCTGAACAAATCTGGCCTTTGTTGTACTGCCCTGGTAAAACCTCTTGCCCTCACTGGTGCAACTAAAAGAACATTGTTTTCTATTATTGGGTAATAATAGTGTGAAAACCCTATATTTGATGGCAATTTATACAATTTAAATCTTAAAGATATTTAATAAATTATTATATTAAAGATATTAAATAAATTATATAACTCTAATTCTAAAAGATAGCTAGCCCTAGGGTTAATTCTTACTGAGAGTCTTTTTAGTCTTCCTTTTCAATTCATCGCTGCGCTCTTCTTTAATATCATGCGTTTCAATTCTTGAAATTTGACATAACTTTTCCACTTCTTTAATGATGTTGTAATCAGTCGGTAAATTTTGTCGGCATATTTCCAGAAGATCGCAGGTAACATTTTCCATTCCGGTTTCAGCTTCTTCTGCAGGTCCTGCCAACCAAAAACTGGCAGTTAAACGTTCGTCGCAAGCGTCTGATGAACTGTAGATCGTCCTTTTGGCGAATTGCGACAAAAGCGTTTCGGGGGCTGGCAAAATCATTTCTGTGTAATTTTCTTTTGGGAGTTCTGAAGAATTTGTTTCCAGAACTTTCAGCAACATCGATACACTTTCCAATAGGGTTTCAAACGTGTTGTCTTCTTCTGTTGTCTTCTATAAATATATAGTGTAAAACATTCTCCTAATGCACCACTTTATAACTACTTAGCATGCGCAGTCTATATAGACACTGCGCATGTTGTACAAGGGCAACATAAATGTTGGAAAAAATACAATAATAAATTCCTTAATAAAAAATATAAGTTTTTTCTTATGATTTCAAGTTGCAGGGAGTTAAAAAAATATGGGTTTTGTTTAATAACTTCTGAATACTACACTGAGAAAAAAGTTTATTGCTCCCAAATAAAAAAAATATTTAAATATGGGACAAGGGTACAGTTTATTTATCCTAAATATATTTTTATTCCCGACACATAAAGTTTTACCAAAGTATATTTATCGTTATTATTTCGACTATTTAGAGGTAATAAACAATATATTAACTATTAATAAAAGTATTAGCTACATAGTTTATTTGTCCCATTTTTTTCTCAGTGTAAAAGATAAGCTTAATTAGGTAATGCTCTAATATGAAGGAGCCCTGAAAGGTATTAAGATAAAATAAATAAAACCATAATAAAACCTGTATACAGTGTGACTAATTGTACTTCGAAATTTTACCCTTTACAAAAAGGTGTTTTTTGTTTTTTCGTGATATTAATGGATATCAGGGATCAGTTTAAAATTTAAAAAAAAATTCTTTTTTTCCTGAATTTTTTAAGATTTTTTTTTCACATGAGTATAAAATACATTATTTGTTTAGTCTGAAAACAATTTTGGAAATCCGCTTTACGAGGCCCTTTCCATGTCTCGGTCAGAAAAAGTGCTAATAAATTAAAAAAATAAAATCTTTTTTGATGGCGGTGCCCCTATAGAGGCCGGTCCAATATGACGAAACCTTGTATGGATTACATTAGGTTAAAAAAATACGATTTTTTATTGTATTTATTGTTTAACTCTCCCTCGCCAAGAACTATTTTTATAGGATATTTTATAAAAGCTATGCTATGCTTTACAAAAAAGGTGTTTTACGTTTTTTTTTCGTAAAACCATCCATTTAAATGATATCGGAAGTCAAAGTTTCAATGAATAAAAAATACCTTTTTTCTGAATACTGAAAACCAATTTAGAAAATTAAGAAACAAAGCTTATCCTTTTCTTCTCGTTGCGATATATATGTATATACTTTTTTATTCCAAAATTATTTTTATACTTAAATAATTTAGATAATACCCAAGTAAAAAAACAACTTGGGAAACTATTTGTTTACAATCTAAAAAATAGTTTTTGTTGATATCTGATATTTTAATGACAAACAAAATATTCACAACTCGCTAATTAATACACATGAAACAATATAGATATTATACGCTTAAAAAAAAAAGGTCGGAGGACAGAGTTTGAAATAAATAAAAAATATTTTTTTCTTCTTCTGAATTTCATAAGTTTTTTTACTTGGGTATCGACTAAACAATTTCTATACATGTATACTGCAGTTTAAATTCAATTTAAAAAAATTATGTTTTCCGTGTTGTTTGCCTAAATGATAATAGTTAGGTATAATAATTCATGATAATTTTCATTTTCATTGTTTTTACATATAAAAACTCGCTTAGTAATGGACATAAATTTTACACTCTAAAAAAAAGGATTTTTTACGTTTTGTCATAAAACTATCCATTTAAATAATATCGGAAATATATTTATATCATCATTTAGGCAATCTATTTACTGTTATATTGTTGGATGTCTACCTATTAGTGGGTTATGAATTTTTTCTTTCGTCATTAAAATGTCTTTTAGGAAGGATTAATAATGTTAAAAAAATTATTTTGTTTCAAAATTGTTTTTAGGCTGTAAACAAATAATTGCGAAATACACAGGGTGTCCCAAAAGTCTGTAAAACAGGCGATGGAACGTTTTTTAACAACAAAAAAAATATTAAAAACTTTGTCAAAATTGTGGAGGTCTAAAAACACAGTGTAAACTTTTTTTAAGGAATTTTTATATATTTTTTTTGTTTATAACATTTTTAATATTTTTCTTGAAGTTCCCGAAGAACGTAAAATCGCCTGACTGACGATGTTTTAAAACATTTTTAGTGTCGCGACCCTCTAAATAAACAAAAAAAATTAGTAAATGTAATTTTTATAAAACCTAGTGACTGAAAGTTGAAAACAAACCTTTAGTTTTTCCGCTATTATGTTCAAAGGATGCCTGTCAGCATTTTCTTCATCATTCCAACCAATCAGGTCCTTGATTTCCTCAGGAGTAATCTTAATAGTCCTTGGCGTGTAAGCGGAATTTTCGCTGTCATCGTCAGTTGTGGCACAAACTCTTAAAAACTCCACCAAAGTATTTAAAGTAGATAAACACTCCGCGTTATTAGCAGAAAAACTAATTGCCAACTTATTTAAAACTAAAGAAAAAATATCGTTTCTTTTCAACAACTGCTCTCTCAAATGATAAAATCCGTAATTGTGCTCGGTTAAAAGCAATAACGTCCTCACCAAGGGTAAATAGGTCACAAAAGAATTGTCGGTGCCCAAATGTTCAACCATCATAGTAATGTAACTTAGCAAGTGTTCTTTAATGGGTATAGCGTTAGCCAAGTACACATCCGAAGTAATCTCACTTTGTAACAACGTCAGCTCAATATCGCAAAAACTTTGTATGATACTCAGAATACACTCCTGCGCTTGTATGTGGCTATTCGTGTTGCAATTGTTCTTTAAAACCTGAGCGAATGCCGGTATAAGCCCTGCGTACTTCTCCTCGGGCTTAGAGGCAACCGCGCAATTGGTCTGTATCAAATGCAACGTTGCGCATTTGATTGTATTCTGCGTGACAAGACATGCAAGGAAATTCAACAGTCTAGCTACATGACTGTTACATGGCCCCATTTTCATGTCTTCTTTGGGTATGAGTGCTTCGTACACGCTGTCCAATATACCACGCGCGATCATAGTGGCCGAGTTCGCCGCCAAATCGGCCAACTGTGCGCATATCCTTCTAAGCAAATTTAGTAGTTGCGGCTGCGTCGAAATGCATAGTTGGCGCAGCATTTCCTGTATGGCGTTGCTGTGCAGATGCAGATGCGCAGACCACAACTTGCGCAGGTTTATGGCCCAGTTGATTTCTTCGGTTGCAAGATCGTCTATAGTTTGAATGGGTAGCGGTAAAGGTAGGAGTTCTGAGAACACCAATAGACCGGATATGAAATTGTAGGGTGCGGAAGTTATGAATTTTATTACTTCGCCGCACATTTGTGTCCACAGTGACTTGTTTAGCGAGTCCTTTTCGTGCATTTGATCAGATATGGGCTGTGTGTATACCAATAAAGTATTAACTATTTCCGTTTTTATTTCTTGGGCATTATGATATCCAGATGCGGTGGGCGGGAAACAATTCAGTAGGTTGTAGGTTTGCAGTAATGTTGGAATGGCTGTTAAATCCTTAAAGTTTACATTCTGGCATTGTACAACATAGGAAAGCATCTCCCTTATTAACCTAATAGTGGGTTGTACGATACTGATTATCTGCATCCCGTGGTTTGAGGAAAAAGTGGCCGTAAATAAGTTTGGTTGCTCATAATGACTACATATTTTCTGTAAGAGTTTAGTCAATATTAAGAGGCCGTCCAATGAGAACAGTTGCAATATAACATGCTTGTATTTGAGTTCCACATAATTTCCGAAAGGATTCTCTGATAAAACCGGACTTTTGTTCGTATTTTTTGATATACCAAGATGTTCAATGACCCTTAGACTTGTTATAAGAGATCCCGGGAAAAACGTTACATTCTCCAAAAGTTTTTCTATATTATCAACATATGGACTTATATTGTCATAAGAAACATTGGTAATATTCTCGAATGGACTTAAATAAAGCCTTATTTCGTTGAGTTTAGCTGAAATGTTCTCCTCAAACAAATCTTGTTGATTCACAACTTGCAAAATAGCTCTGGAATACTTCTCCATTAACCCAATATTAGATTTAGCTATAACAGCTATGGAAATCAAATCTACAATATAGGCTATCCCCGATGACCTCTTCAATTTAGCCAAATACCCATCAAGCTTCTCTTTAACAGTTAACACGTCCAAAAACTGCAGCAACGATCTAACATTATCGCCCATGCCCAACACTGAAGCAATACTCTGTCTACCAACAGGAGAAAACGAAAGACAAAGAAGCGCGTGAAGTTCATCGAGAACTTCAAAAACATCGCAGTCGTACGCGAATTTCTTGCCAATGTGCAAGAGGCAGTTTACGTGGTACAGCGCTCGGATTTTGTAGGCAATATTCAGACCCAAACGATGAGATTTTGTATCGCAACTCTGATCTGCCAAAGCGTATTGCAACTCTTCGTCGTTCTTCAAAAGGCACTTGAGAAGAACGTTTACGGTTTTGGAGTTTGTGGCCAAATAGTCTAAGCCCTCCGGGGAGTCCAGTAGGTGGGAAATGATTTCGAATATTGGCGTCTTGATCGCGGGGAGATTCAGAGTGTTGGGGTGTGCGAGGAGAAGTAAGAAACACTGCAATAAATCGAACATTTTGAAGTACACGACGAAAACGTTGTCTGTTTCGGGTCTGCCAACTTCAAATTGGGTGCTGACGGGTAAAAATCGTTTCGGCTGCGACAGCGCGAACGAACCACTGTGGCAGAATTGCAGGGTTTGGTTTAGAATTTTCGTTATCAAGTTGATTTCCACGGCGGATATGTCGTTCTTAATATTTCGCAATTTTAATAGAATGCAGTGCATCTTGTGCAGAATCTCGTATAGATTTAACTTTTTCAGTAGCGAATTCAAGGCAAATTTGAGCCTTACCAGGGGATTTTTTTGCACGTACGTCACAAGAATCCGGTAACCGTTCGATTCCGATACCGGTATGCAGTCGTAGTGCCCGTTTTCTTGCGGTCCATCCAAGTTTTCGCCCATGAGAAATTTATCGATGGAAAATTTGCTCGTCAGCGAAGTGTCGAGCGCTTTCAGCACCATCAACTTAATCGACAACGCCATGAACTCTTGATCGTACAAATTCAATAGGAGATCGTGGATGTTGATTTTGTTCTGCCACAATATCTTCAGGAAGTCCTCGCTGTGCGCGCACCAATCGGCCAGCCTGACACCGCACTTGATGTGCCTTATTTTGTACACGGCTTGATCCTGAGCATTCGCCATTTCGTAGTCCAACGCTATTTGCAACCAATCGATTAACGTTTTTATTATGTACTGCACTTGGTTGACCACTTCCTTTTCTTCATCCGGCAGACTTGATTGATTTATATCTTTAGTTCTCACGTGGAAACCAACAATATCGATGAAAATGCTTGGAGATCCGATCGTGCCGATTAACTTTTCGCATTGGTGTATGAATTCTTCCTTTATCTCGGTGTTTAGTTGTACGAATTTATCCAACACGAATTTGGTGATGCTGGATTTAAAGTAATCGTCTGCTATACCGATGGCGGTCTTAAAACTCTCCTCCATAGATATAGCGTCGCCTGTTACAGTGAAGTTACCCAGAGTATCGTACTTTTGTAACTCCGTCACTCCCGGCGTGAACAACTTGATAATGTCGTCGTTATTCGTGTACGAACTGTAATCGTAATCCACGTCTTGGTACTGCTCGGGATCATCAAGAATGTCTTCGTCACTTAGGATCGGTTCGAATTCTTCAACGTCCATTTGATTGGAGTTTTCCTCCAGAGGTGGCGTGCGAATTTCTTTGCCCTCCTTTGGAAGCTTTTCGTCTATTGGAGGTTCAACATCTGGCGGTAGTGGCTCTTTGTGGTCACTTGGAGGAGTGTGAGGTCGTTTGGGAGACTGGGAGGGAGGAGTTCTTGGCCGCTTTCGTTCCTCTCTGTCATCTCTAGCATAGGATCTAAAAACAAAAATTTAATTTCTTTGGTATATTTTTCAAGGAAAAATTACACTCGTCAACATTTTGCCACAATGTGGCCAACAACTAGGTAATTCGGGTGCGCTGACTCTAAAAACAACCATAAATTTTCTGAATTACCCGTAGTTTTTGAGATATTATCAAAAAACACAATTTTGTAAATTTCATTAACATCGTTCAAAAATTGTTCGCATAACAGCACTTTGGACTGAACATTGTCGAATTTTTGCTAAAAAAGCGATGAAATGTTTTTTAATTAGATTTTTTTAGGGACTTAGTTTATAAATATGTATAATTTATTTTTTTAGTTAAATTAGGACCAATAGCTATGATACTTGGTCAAAGTATTTTATTAAAAAACATATTTGAATATTTGCAAAAAAATTTTTTTATACAATATCTTAAAACAAAGGCTATTTGAGCAAAATGATGGTTATTTTTGAAATAAGCGCACCGAAATTAGCATAGATAAGTTATGAGCAATCAAAAAATTGAGTAATTACAAGCCTATTAAAATGGCATTTAAAAGTTGGAAAAAATGTAAAAAGCAAAAATCAATATATCTTAGAATTTTGATAAAAGTATCATATGAAAACATACACATTAGAGTGGGTCACTTTTTTTAAATTTATTTTGTAATAATCTTTAAGGTGAAAAAAATATATACCAAAGTAACAGGCAAGAATTAAACTCAATTTTAGCCAATCAGCTTAAAAATCTTGCTATATCTCATTATTTGGCCATTTGTAGGGATATGATAAAAGCCATCTCAATTGTGTACATTGATATTTGCTTAACATTAACATTATTTTGTAGTGCCCAATGTTGGATTATTAATGCATTATTTTGTGTACATACCTAGCGTTATTATTGCAAATACGCATAAAGTTATGTTATGAATATATTTAACATTTAAAAAAATCATAAAAAAATGGTAATTCCAAAAGTATTTATTAATTAAATTAATTAATATTAATAATTTTTAACGGTTGATAGAAACTTAGTTTACATATCCCAATCATAGTACAATTTTTGCGTTATGTTATCATATATAAATATATATTATAATACACTGCCCGTCAAAATTAACGCATAATAAGTAAAAAAAATAACTCTAAAACGCCTTTACTAATCTTTTTGAAATTGTATATAAAAATACTTCAACTTATATATCAGTTTACGTGTTCAAGGATTTTTCGAGAAAATATGTTTAAAGCTCTTTTAATTAATAATTAAAAAAACGTTCGAAAAATAAATTTAAGGGAATTTTTTTAAGTAAATAAAAAATATGCTGTAAAGACCGTATTTTTATTAGTATACCCTGAAAATTTTGTACAAATCAAACGAACAGTAACGAAGATACAGCGCTTCAAAGTCGGTAAAAAGGACCCCTTTTTTATTATTTTGCCGAAAAGTGGTCATTTTTGACGACTTTGAAGCGCTGTATTTTTGTCACAGTTCGTTTGATTTGTACAACATTTTAAGGGTAAACCAACAAAAATACGGTCTTTCAAAACATATTTTTTATTTACTTAAAAATAAATTTTCCTTTAAAAGTTTTTTTCGAGCATTTCTTATTATTAAATAAAAGGGCTTTAAGGATATTTTCTCGAAAAACCCTTGAACACGTAAACTGAGATGTAAGTTGAAGTATTTTTAAACAAAATTTTATAAAGATTGGTAAAGGCGTTTTAGAGTTTTTTTTACTTGTTATGCGTTAATTTTGACGCGCAGTGTATATTTTGTATTTTTTTAATATTAACATAAGGTTAATATTGGCTTAGTGTTGCTTTTTAAGCTTGAATTATTTAATGGGCCAATAAAAACTTTATTATGTGTACACAACTATGCAAAGAATAAAACAATTGAATATCTCAATAAGTTATTTTATTCCTGCCTTATTTGGCTATCTGGGCATCTTTTGTTTTTCCTATGACCACCATATTGAAATTTTACATGGTACAAAAGAAATCAAGGAATCCAACGACGACATTAATGATCTATAAACTTCGGCCATAGGAAAAACAAAATATGGAGGTAGTAACACAAAATCTAGTACGCGAAAAAATCACAAATTTAATGAAAATATAAATAAATGTGTATGTTGACTACTATGAAAAATAACTTTTTTTTAATTCCCAGGAACAACGAAAATATAAAGATTTTTGGTTTTGACTGGTTTTAATTTTTTTTTCAAATATTTTGAGAACCGCTAAATTTTGTCCAATTTTTAAATGCGATTTTAATAGTCTGATAATTACGCACCTTTTCTCTAATTTAACCGACGTTGCTCTTCAAATAAAAAGATACATTTTCTTTTAATGGAAAGAGATTATTATAATAAGAAGATGTATATATTGAATCAAACTTTTGAGCTGTTCTACAATATGGCAAACCTGTCCTAAACAATAAATTATTCACATTTATAAAGTAAGTCCCTTATAAACCCTATTTTTAACCAAATAAAATCACTTTTTTGGCAAAAAATTCGACAATTTTTAAAGTCCAGTGCGAACAATTTTTGTTAATTTGTTTAAAAATTGCCAAAATAATACTCAAAACAACCGCGCGTGTCAAAATTTATATTTATATTAAGTACCTAATTGACCCCTACACGGGGGTGATGTTACCCGGGGTAACTTACCCCTAAATTTTTGAAGGCCTTTTAAATCCCTACATTTTGTGGTATTAGTTTTTAAAGTCTGTTGGTTGTTTTTGAGATATTAAAGAAAAAGTTTGTTTTTAATTTATTTTTATCTTTAATATTAATTTTGACACCCGCTATTTTTACAATTTTTATTTTATTTCGTTGAAATTAAGTTAATAAATAAAGCTACAATTTTGTAAATTTCATTAACATCGTTCAAAAATTGTTCGCATAACAGCACTTTGGACTGAACATTGTCGAATTTTTGCCAAAAAAGCGATGAAATGTTTTTTAATTAGATTTTTTTAGGGACTTAGTTTATAAATATGTATAATTTATTTTTTTAGTTAAATTAGGACCAATAGCTATGATACTTGGTCAAAGTATTTTATTAAAAAACATATTTGAATATTTGCAAAAAAATTTTTTTATACAATATCTTAAAACAAAGGCTATTTGAGCAAAATGATGGTTATTTTTGAAATAAGCGCACCGAAATTAGCATAGATAAGTTATGAGCAATCAAAAAATTGAGTAATTACAAGCCTATTAAAATGGCATTTAAAAGTTGGAAAAAATGTAAAAAGCAAAAATCAATATATCTTAGAATTTTGATAAAAGTATCATATGAAAACATACACATTAGAGTGGGTCACTTTTTTTAAATTTATTTTGTAATAATCTTTAAGGTGAAAAAAATATATACCAAAGTAACAGGCAAGAATTAAACTCAATTTTAGCCAATCAGCTTAAAAATCTTGCTATATCTCATTATTTGGCCATTTGTAGGGATATGATAAAAGCCATCTCAATTGTGTACATTGATATTTGCTTAACATTAACATTATTTTGTAGTGCCCAATGTTGGATTATTAATGCATTATTTTGTGTACATACCTAGCGTTATTATTGCAAATACGCATAAAGTTATGTTATGAATATATTTAACATTTAAAAAAATCATAAAAAAATGGTAATTCCAAAAGTATTTATTAATTAAATTAATTAATATTAATAATTTTTAACGGTTGATAGAAACTTAGTTTACATATCCCAATCATAGTACAATTTTTGCGTTATGTTATCATATATAAAAATATATTATAATACACTGCCCGTCAAAATTAACGCATAATAAGTAAAAAAAATAACTCTAAAACGCCTTTACTAATCTTTTTGAAATTGTATATAAAAATACTTCAACTTATATATCAGTTTACGTGTTCAAGGATTTTTCGAGAAAATATTTTTAAAGCTCTTTTAATTAATAATTAAAAAAACGTTCGAAAAATAAATTTAAGGGAATTTTTTTAAGTAAATAAAAAATATGCTGTAAAGACCGTATTTTTATTAGTATACCCTGAAAATTTTGTACAAATCAAACGAACAGTAACGAAGATACAGCGCTTCAAAGTCGGTAAAAAGGACCCCTTTTTTATTATTTTGTCGAAAAGTGGTCATTTTTGACGACTTTGAAGCGCTGTATTTTTGTCACAGTTCGTTTGATTTGTACAACATTTTAAGGGTAAACCAACAAAAATACGGTCTTTCAAAACATATTTTTTATTTACTTAAAAATAAATTTTCCTTTAAAAGTTTTTTTCGAGCATTTCTTATTATTAAATAAAAGGGCTTTAAGGATATTTTCTCGAAAAACCCTTGAACACGTAAACTGAGATGTAAGTTGAAGTATTTTTAAACAAAATTTTATAAAGATTGGTAAAGGCGTTTTAGAGTTTTTTTTACTTGTTATGCGTTAATTTTGACGCGCAGTGTATATTTTGTATTTTTTTAATATTAACATAAGGTTAATATTGGCTTAGTGTTGCTTTTTAAGCTTGAATTATTTAATGGGCCAATAAAAACTTTATTATGTGTACACAACTATGCAAAGAATAAAACAATTGAATATCTCAATAAGTTACTTTATTCCTGCCTTATTTGGCTATCTGGGCATCTTTTGTTTTTCCTATGACCACCATATTGAAATTTTACATGGTACAAAAGAAATCAAGGAATCCAACGACGACATTAATGATCTATAAACTTCGGCCATAGGAAAAACAAAATATGGAGGTAGTAACACAAAATCTAGTACGCGAAAAAATCACAAATTTAATGAAAATATAAATAAATGTGTATGTTGACTACTATGAAAAATAACTTTTTTTTAATTCCCAGGAACAACGAAAATATAAAGATTTTTGGTTTTGACTGGTTTTAATTTTTTTTTCAAATATTTTGAGAACCGCTAAATTTTGTCCAATTTTTAAATGCGATTTTAATAGTCTGATAATTACGCACCTTTTCTCTAATTTAACCCACGTTGCTCTTCAAATAAAAAGATACATTTTCTTTTAATGGAAAGAGATTATAAGAAGATGTATATATTGAATCAAACTTTTGAGCTGTTCTACAATATGGCAAACCTGTCTTTATTTTTTAAAACTGTAAGCATTTAAGTAATACATATAAAACTAACATGTTGTCTTACCTTTTTAATTTAATATTATTTATTTCATTCAAACCTTTCTCTAATCTATAGATATTTAATAGTAATTTTTGTTTACCTTCTGTAACCATCATCATGTTTGTAGGATCTTTCTCTATCCCTGTCATGTTCTCTATCTCTATCTCTGCCCCTGTCCCAGTCATGATCCTGCCTATCTCTGTAATCAGGTTCCTGCCAGTCTCTGTTGTGGTCCCTGTCCCTTACAAAGTCCCTTGATGGCCTATCTCTTTCCCTATCCCTACTTTCAGATCTAGAATATCTCTTTTCGCGGTCCCGATCTCTGTCTCTTCGATCGATATGGTCTCTATCTCCTTTCTGTAAGAAACATAATTATTTTATTTTTTTTAATTTTGTTTTATCAGGTCAATAGAGGAATATTTTATTAAACACAATACATACAATTTCTTCGAATTTTGAAATTTAGATAGATTTAATTAGAAAAATATCTGAGCCATCTTGAGTTTTTTATTTTGTATATTTTTAAAAAATATTAAACGGTGTTTTTTAGGCCCCATAAAAATGGCGATTTTAAAAGTTAAAATTCCTTGTTTTTTTTTCAATGGGTCCACCCATATATTTTTAGAATGTAGGTAATATTAAATATAGAAAATAAAAAAAACATTTAAAAAACATGTGGAATGTGATTAAATAAAAATAAACCAAAAACCCACTGTACAGTAAAACTTTCCTTTCCTTTAATTTGTTTTCACTAGTTTTGGAGATCATTAATATTTTAAAAATTATCCCGAGTCGAAGACGAGGAATAATTTGTCTAAAAATATTTATGAGCGAGAAAAAATTTCAGGATTTAATTTAACCTCGCGCGGTATTCGGTAAGAAAATTCCACACCAAATTGTGTTTAAAATAAAATCTTTTTAAAATGATATTTTTTAACTTTTAACATTGCCAATTTTTTTTCTTTGACAAGACACCACCATGATTTATACTTATTGTAGTTGCATGGAAATACCATTTACCATACTTAACATAGTACATTAATTGTTTAGTTTTACATAAACTTTGAGTTACTATAAGTGGTAGAAAATTGCTTTGTTCAGGAATATTTTCTATTAATTAGGTACTCAAAATAAAAAGTACCTAGGTACTAAATGAAAAAAGTATTAATAATAAAGAAATTAAAACTAATATTGTCAAAAAAAAATTTTGATTGTCAAAAAATACATGAGTTGCCATGGTGACCTGTCAAAAAAACCCATTTTGATTGGTTAAAAGTACTGGTGTGGAATTTAAAAAAAATTTTTTTTATGGAAAAGTAGGATTTTTATAAGTACATAGTAAATTGAAAACTATAAATATCTGTTTTTTGAAGATAAACTTATAAAACATAAGAAAGCACATTTTAAAATATTTAATTAGTCTACACAATCTGTCAAATAGAATCTGTCTTACTTGATAGTTATCTCTGCCCCTGTCTCTGTCCCTATCCCTTTCTCTATCCCTATCCTCATCCCTGCTCCTCCCCTTACTATCCCAATCCTGATCAGGAGTATGATGGTAGCTCCTTGGATCTTTGGGCACATCTCCCCCATAATATTCTCCAAACTCCTGAGCGTACCCTTCAGGCTGTTGAGGATAAGATTGATATGGAGTAGCAGGAGTATTACTTCCATACTCTATGCTACCACTTGGTACACTGTCTGTCTGCCAATCAGCTTCAATGGTGGTAGTTCCAGATATAATTTGTTGGGCATCAGCAATTGTATTTGCTTGCTGTGCCAACGATGGGTTTTGCACAGGCTGAATAATTTGCTCTGTTATGTTATTAGTCAGAGTACCATACACTGCAAGAGTTATTGTAGTGTACCAACCTGAAAACCAACAAAACAATGTAACAATGTAAATTTACTGAATATTAAAAGAATATTGTACCTCTTAAAACCAATCCATCAGTAGGTATCTTCCTAACAGTCTCCTCAGGTATACAATCCAAGTTAATACATCCATTTTGATCATACTCAAACCCGCCAAGGGTTTCAAACGTGCTTGCGCCCGGTTTTCCTAAATCATTAACAAAAAACTCAATGTGAAACTGACTGGGGTTAGTAGCCCCCAGTCGTACACCCCCAGGGAAATCTGCTTGCACTCTGGCACCCAAAGGTATTATTCTTACTTCAGTAACATATACCGGCTTGGGAAACTGAACTAAATCCAAATTCAGTTCCTAAAATAAAATAATTTTAGCCTGGAAGTTTTAGGTGATCAAATTTTACTTACTTCTGTGTTATCGTGAGCAAAAGTATCGAAAAATAGCAGTTCTATGGGTTCCGCCATTTTATAAGGACACTTTAATTTACTATCAATACATGTATTTAAAATACATTATTTATTTCTTTAATAAACACATAAACACGTTAGGTTAGGTTTGGGTTGTATTGGCCGGTAAAGCAGTAATCTTATAAATTTTGGAGGTTATATGTCAATTTCAAAAACAATAAATTTTAAAATAATGATATAACACCGCATGTTATTATTATAATCCTAAAATGTCTAAAGAATTGGGAAATGTGCTATTGGGTATGTAAAATAACGCATTTTTTTAAATACGTTTTTTATGTTTATTGTTATTAGGCGGGGGGTCCGGATTTATCGGCAAACACTTAACATCCCTTTTAACCAGCAAGGGTTATAATGTAACTATTATATCACGTATGCCAGGGGCCTCAAGGATATCATGGACCGATTTACAAACCAAAGGCCTACCTGAGAGCACTACTGCAGTCATAAACCTAGCAGGTCAAAATGTAATGGACTTCACGCAACGTTGGACAACGGGCTTTAAGCAGAATGTATTTAATTCTAGAGTTAAAACAACAGCATCTCTAGCAGAAGCCATAGCAAAGGCCCCCAAAAGGCCTAAAGTTTTTGTGGCTATATCTGGAGTGGGGGCATATAAACCTAACGATAAAGAGTATACTGAGAGTTCAATATTGGAAAACTTTGACTTTTTCTCCAAGTTGTGCATAGAATGGGAAAAGGCTGCTTGTCTTCCCAAGGAAGTTACAGATTGTAGGCAAGTTATTATAAGAAGTGGAGTTGTGTTGGGTAGGGATGGAGGCATGATAAAACAACTGTATTTGCCTTTTTTCCTGGGGTTAGGAGGACCTGTTGGAAGTGGCATGCAATATATGCCATGGATACACATTGATGATCTCACCAGATTGATATTATTTTCTATAGAAAATAATGTTGAAGGAGTTTACAATGGAGTTGCTCCCACACCAGCTACCAACAAAGAATTCTCAAATGTAAGAAATATTTACTTATTTAAATTCAAAAACGAATTTGTGAAATAATCTATGGAAAATAATGTTTGTACTGAAATATTATTTCCCAGATTATTTTAAAAATTCGTTTCCAAACTTTAGAAACAAAATAGGATCATGATGATAGCTTAAAAATTAATTAAGGGGCCGTCCATAAATGATGTCACGTTTTTTAAATATTTTTGACCCCCCCTTCCCCACTTGTCACAAAGTGTCACAAATTATGGGACCCCCCTCCCCATTGGCGTCACGTCACACTGATTTAATTTTTATGTAAGGTCTACCCCACGAAATTTTTGCTTAAAATAAAATCTTAATATCCAGTTTATAACCATTATTAATTATTAAATTCCAAAATATTTTTATAATTTTGTGACATCACAACCTCCCAACCCCTCCTCCCCCGGCTGTCACAAACTGTCACATTTTCGACGACCCCCCTCCCCCCTAAGTGTGTGACATCATTTATGGACGGCCCCTAATTAGTTTGTGTGATACAAAATAAAAAAATTGCTTATGAAAAATGTAACTTAAAAAAATATTTTCTTGGAATCTGTGATGTAAAAAAGTCTGAAATTATTTGTGAATGGGTCTGATGAGTTACAAAATTATATATTAAATTTTGAAGACATTTTAACATATATATATATATATATATATATATATAGAGTCAAACCACGTCAAGTGGGACCAGAAAATTTCACGAAATCACCGATTTTGAAAATAATCACATTGTTGTGTAGTAGGCATGACTCATATGTCACAGTAAAAAAATTGTTTTAAAATTCGTTTTTTTGGTAATGTTATTAAGGATGACAATTTTGTCAAACTTTAGAGCACGGTAAAATTGAAAAAATAGAATCTCTGGGACCACTCTGTATAATTGAATTAAATTTTACACACTATTGTAGAAATGTTTAGAGTATAAAATGATCATTTAATTAAGGTTAATTTGTTTAAATAAAAGAATTTTGCATACATTTATTATAAACAATTGAAATTTTGTATGTGTTCTTCACGCTGAAAAAAAATTAATCTTGTGTCATAATATGCGGCAAACGTTTCCGTTTAATAAGATGTACTCAAAAATTTGCCTTTCATATGTCATTCCGGAGATATTAATTTTTTTGTCCCGCTGTGCGCTTGATCAGTACGCGGCGCGCTTCGCTGCTAGCTCGTCCGTTCGAACGGTTTAACGGTGTGCCTGAACGAAGTTTAAGTCACATAAAAATGCCGCCAAAAACTGATTGTAATTTCTTGTTCGGGACCCTTTGGTGACTTAAAAATGATATTTACCAAAGTTCTAGCTGCTCCTCTTTTCGAAATTGTTCGAAAATTCGATTTTTTTTTTAAATTTTTGTTTATCTCTTTGACAGAGTACACATTTGCACACGGATTTTTATAAAATTGGAGTATATTATTTAGGAGACTTAGAGAATATTTTTTAATACTGTTCACATCATTTGATATATACAGGGTTAGCCAAAAATCACTTATTTTTAATAATGCAAAAGCGTAAATTCATGATTTTAGCATAACACGCGAAAAATATTTATTCCCAATTTTTTTTAGATATTTCTAGGTCTATCAGGTTACAAAATGGCATTAATATTAACCTTTTACAAGAAAAATAGATTTGTTATAACATTTAATAAAATAACGCTTAGAGAGTATTTAAAATGTTGTTTAATTTAGGCTTTTTAGTAGTTTTCAATTTTGAACGAAAAATTGGTTGAAGTTAAAAAATATATTTACCAAAATTCTAACTGTTTTTTTTTTAAATTGTAAAAAATTCAATTTTTTTAAAATTATTTGTTTATCGCAAAGTCTACCTTTGCCAGAGTACACATTTGTACACCGATATTGTAAACGAGAGAAACTGTTTTTATATATATGCTTAGATTTATACAGGGTTAGACAAAAATCACTTTTTTATATAGTAAAAAGCATAATGCATAAAAAAGATTTTTCAAAAAATTTCGAAAAGAGGAGCAGCTAGGATTTTGGTAAATATCATTTTTAAGTCACCAAAGGGTCCCGAACAAGAAACTGCGGAATTTTTATGTGACTTAAACTTCGTTCAGGCACACCGTGTGCTGACGAGCTAGCAGCGAAGCGCGCCGCGTACTGATCAAGCGCACAGCGGGACAAAAAAATTAATATCTCTGGAATGACATATGAAAGGCAAATTTTTGAGTACATCTTATTAAACGGAAACGTTTGCCGCATATTATGACACAAGATTATTTTTTTTTCAGCGTGAAGAATACTTACAAAATTTCAATTGTTTATAATAAATGTATGAAAAATTCTTTTATTTAAACAAATTAACCTTAATTAAATGATCATTATATACTCTAAACATTTATACAATAGTGTGTAAAATTTAATTCAATTATACAGAGTGGTCCCAGAGATTCTATTTTTTCAATTTTACCGTGCTCTAAAGTTTGACAAAATTGTCAACCTTAATAACATTACCAAAAAAAACGAATTTTAAAACAATTTTTTTACTGTGACATATGAGTCATGCCTACTACACAATAATGTGATTATTTTCAAAATCGGTGATTTCGTGAAATTTTCTGGTCCCACTTGACGTGGTTTGACTCTATACGTTAAAATATACCTGTAAACCAACATAATAAACATATTTCTTATACATTTTCTGAGTTATTAAATGTACATACAGTGTGACCCATTTGTTTGCTACTCAACCCCGTAAAATCTTTATTTATTGTGCGATTTTAATAGAATATGTTTTAAAGTGTATTTCTTGAAAAACTTTATTTTTGGAACAAAAAACCATAGTTTTTATAAGTAAATTTTTTAGAATTCATATTAGCGATTTTTTAAAAACAAAATCTAAGCACGGCACCACCCCTCAAAACGACCATTTACTAAATTTTATTGAAAAATTTTAAGTAGAAAAATGCACAATAATTACTAAAGTCTATTCAAATCCAAGCTGGACTAAATGTAAACACAATCCTCCGAATCGACCAATAAGAGCTCACAATCCGAGTCACACCATCAGAATCCAGACCAATAGAAACGAGTTATCACGCGTCTGGGCGTTTTTGTTTAGTCCAGCTTGGATTTGAATAGACTTTACAAACATTTATTTTCTCAAGTTATCCATGTAAAAACATTGAAATAAAATTAAACTAATAGTAACATGGTACTATTACTATAAGTTTAATTTTATTTCAATGTTTTTTCATGGATAACTTGACAAAATAAATTTTTGTAGTTATTATTGTGCATTTTTCTACATCAAGATCTTCACATTAAAACAAATCCGGTTAAAATCGCACAATAAATAAAGATTTTACAGGGGTAAGTCGCAAAAAAATGGGTCACACTGTAAATAATAAACTTTTTGGTAGTTGTAAAGAATGAATTTTTTTATTGTAAAAAATCGCGGTTTCTAAAAATGCAATTTAAAGAAAAAAAATTTAAAGTATTTTTATAAAAACTTTAATAGCATAGTTATAAAAATAGAAAGATGTTTTTTTAATTTAGACATACAAAAAATTCATTTTGGGCTAATAATTATATATATTTTAGGCTTTTGCTGGTGCCCTTTCCAGGCCTGCCATCTTTCCAGTTCCAAAATTTGTGTTCAATGCTCTTTTAAGCGAAGAAAGAGCAAATATGATTACTAAGGGCCAAAAAGTATTACCCCAGAGATACCAGGAAGCTGGATTTACCTATAATTTTCCCAACATCACTGTGGCCTGTCAGGACCTAGTTCAGAAAAAAGCATAGTCTGCTGTTAAAGGATAGTTTGCTTAGGTATTTATTTTAAACTTATTGTAAATAGGTGTTATAAAATATAATATTTGCTTTTGATAAAGCTTTTTATTAAAGTTGGTGTAAAAAAATTGTTTACAATAAAATTATTTACATTACTCAATTTTGAACACTGATATAAAGGTATCTGCAAGTATAAACAGCAACTTGTTGCTTATATAAATGCCCAAAACTTCTTCATTTGGAATGTTGATAACATATTGCTGTGCCATATTTGGGATATACCTTCCTATACTTCTATTTCTTAATTCGCCTGAAGAAATGGCTTTTTTTTGGCAATAAAGAAATACGTATCTTGTTGACTGACAAATTGCGATGTTATTTAGATCTGGCGAACAAACTGTATACTTTTTCTGTTGTTTGGAAGCCTAAAAATATTCTTTTATTATAGATATTTTTTTAAATAATACTGTCTTACTTGAATGTACCCAAATGCATGTAAAGTACCCGCGTGTTTAACGGTGAATTCTTCATTATTTAAACTGGGTTTCCAAAGTAAAACATCAACATCATGTCTTATACCAAATGCAGGTAATGATTCATCATTTATATTGGCAGATAATAAAACAGGATTGGAACCAATGTTAATTTTATTTACAGTTTCATTTGTTATGCCACATATTCTTTCAAAAATCACTGTTTTGTCATATTCCAAATCGCAATCCTCAATTTGCTGGCTATTAAATGTTGTACCAGAAGGTGGATTTGCCTTTAAAAACAATATGGTTAAAAACAAAATCTTGTTATATTAATTTTTTTAAATTTAAAATACTGTTAAACATAATTTGCTCACTAAAAACTGAAGATAATAAGTAATAAAGGATAAGAGTCAATTTTTATTGTGTTCAGGGTTGCCAGTTGGGGAAGAATAAAATTTATAAGATTTGTCATTACAAATTGTGAAATGTGTAAGGAGGGGATTAAGATAATATAATAAAGTTAACCATTTAATACGGCTAAATTTGGCATGGCAAACCCATGACCAGATAAAATATACATATCTCAACAAAAATGACCTCTTGTACTTTTTTTGAGAAATGGACAATTTTTAAGTTTTTAAGATAAATCTCGGAATAAAATATTTAAATTTCCCTTAATTTTTTAATATAATTTAAGTTGTTTTTTTAATAACTGCAAAATGGTCAATTTACCAAAAATGTATAAGAGGTCATTTTTGTGGGAAAATTTATATTTTATCTTGTCATGGGTTCACAATACAGATCTGAACTCCAGAACCAAATTGTATAAAGTCCACTTTTTTAAAATCACATTAAATATATTTTTCCAATGTTAGACAGAATGAAGTTCTTACTAAATTTTTATAATATATTAAATATTTAAAAAGGCATATAAACGGATTTATCGCCAAAAAAAGAATTGGATTAGATTTTTAAAAATTCATAAAAATAATTCTGTTTTTGGACTTTTTTTAGTTGCATATTATTAAAATTTTACTTAATTTTCGTGATAAAATTATTTATACTTATTTAAATTATATTAAAAATGTTGAATGTATTCAAAACTAGATTAATACACTGCCCGTCAAAATTAATGCATAATAAGTAAAAAAACTCAAAAACGCCTTTACCAATCTTTATGAAATTTTGTATAAAAATACTTCAACTTATATCTCAGTTTACGTGTTCGAGGGTTTTTCAAAAATATTTTTAAAGCCCTAATAATAAAAAAACCTTCTAAAAATAACTTTTAGAGATTTTTTTTTTAATAAATTAAAAATATGGTGTTAAAGACCGCATTTTTCTTAGTATACCCTAAAAATTTTGTACAAATCAAACAAACAGTAACAAAGATACAGTGCTTCAAAGTCGGTAAAAATTACCCCTTTTTGATTATTTTGCTGCAAAATGGTAATTTTTGTAGACTTTGAAGCGCTGTATTTTCGTTACTGTTCGTTTGATTGGTACAACATTTTCAGGGTTTACTAACAAAAATTCGGTCTTTCACAGGATATTTTTTATTTACTTAAAAAAATTTTTTTGAGTGTTTTTTATTATTAAATAAAAGGGCTTTAAGGATATTTTCTCGAAAAACCCTTGAACACGTAAACTGAGATAAGTTGAAGTATTTTTTTATACAAAATTTCATAAAGATTGGTAAAGGGGTTTTAGAGTTAGATTTTTTTTACTTATTATGCGTTGATTTTGACGGGCAGTGTATATGTTTATAATAACAAGCCAAAAATTCAACATTTAACTTTCATTTTTATTTCTGTTTGATTTAAAACTCCCAGTCATTTAAAGCTAAGCTGCACAGTGTAGCCAGACTGCCTCTCTTCACTTGGTATTGTATAAAAATGTCAAAATTTTTGTTAATGTATTACAATAATTAAACGGTCAAAAATTTTTGTTTATAATAATTTATAAAAAATCTGAAAATTTCGTCGACAACATGTTTCTCACAACTACCCTAATTACCTCTGTTTCACTTGTTAAATGTGCTAGTCTATTTGCCACTTCTTCAATAGAATTAATTTCTACATATTCTTCTTTGTTGTTCCCCTTTATTACATTAATCCATTCATCAGAACCATTTTTTATTAAAGTTATTTCCAAATTGTTTTTGTCCACCATCCAAGTGGTTAAATTAGAGTCTATACTTTTTGAAAGATTACCATTCAACCAAACTAAATCTTCATATTTAACACTGATGGTATCAGAGGTTGTAACTACATTTAACTTGGATTTATCAAAATTTTCAGGTAGTAAAATTTTCAAACTAACATCCGATTCACTCTGATGCCACAACAAGGGTTTTGATTCATCTTTATTTTTTTCCACAATCGGGTGCTCAGAATTAAGAGTAAACTTGCATTCACCATCTGTTACAACATTAATAAATTTACAATTTTTCTCTAATGTTAAATACTGTACATCACCCTTAACTTGAATCTCTCTTAACGCAGTTTGTCCCCAATTCTCCTCAGCCTCAGTAAGAGTAACCCAGTTAATAATTGTTGTGTATTTTTGGGTATTACTATCTAGCTCAACATGCAATAAAACAACATGAATCTCTTTTTTATTATTATTATCACAATAAACTGCATCTGACACAATATAACCTTTATCAGAATCATTTACATCTCCAGAATACACAATAGTAAAAAGATCGTCATCATTTCGTGAGCCTGTACTTAATAAATATAACACTCCTAAACCATCAGTTAACACAGCAAAATCACAGTTAACAAATTTAAAGGTAACATTATAATTTCCAGGTTGCTTTTCTCTAGTTTGCGGCACCTGCCACAGTACTATTGGATCAATTAGCTCAAAGTTAAATGGATCAATGTAAGTCTTACACAAATTTCTCTTCTTGTCAATATAATAAACAGAATCGTTTTCGTCGACAGTTTCTCCAATTAAATGATTTTGCAGTCCGAATAATTTCACATGTAATAAACTGTACTGTGTGGAATCGAGAAGAATCCTTTCAACTGAATTTTTCAGTTCTTTTTTATTTGTCACTACGTTTTCTAGAGATAATTTGTATCCGTTGAATTCCGGGTTCAGTAATTGTCTATTGGGACGCAACTCGATTAGTTTTGGCCCCATAATTAAAATTATTGTTAAATTAAAAACAAACCGGATTTAACTTTTATAGTGAGGTTAATCTTCTTCTTCTGTCTGTCATTAATTTAAAATTACAATGTTGTCAATTCATTATTCTATTTTTTATTGTTTGGTTTATTTCTAGATTCGCTCCATTTTTAACATTTAGGTACTTGGGCATATTTACGCGCACAAAAGTACACATGATGTAGTCATTTTACTCAGAATTTTAGGTAGAATTTAAAAATGTAAAAATATAAGGGGTGTTCAATTTAAAATAACAAATTTAATGACCGGTTAAACCGGAAGTGGCATTTTGTTTAAAAAATTTTAGATAAACCGACTTAAATGAATTACAAATGCTTTTAAAATTGTAAATCTAATAGATCACGAATGTGAAACAACCTGTATATGTAATACATATTATGTAGGTATACATACCTACTTCAAATGACAAAATAAAACATGTTATTTTTAGTATGTAGGTATTAATTATTATTATTATTTGGAGTAAATAAATAAAAATAATACCCCTGCTTAAAATACCCCATAGAGACCTATAAAAAATAATCTATCGGGCGCTACCGGATTCAATATGTGCATTTGTCCATGGTTTTTTCCGGATACAGCCCGATAGAAAATGTATAGGAAATTACCTATAGGCACACCATAACTTTTACATTTTCCCTATTGAGACCGATAGAAAATAACTCAATGAAGGATATATAGGGATATCCCTATAGAGCAACCATAAAACATTTGACAAAATTTTATTAAAACCTATGGGGTCCTATAGGGAAAAAACTAATTTCTACATTTATGTGTATTTTCGGGGATCCCCATTGAAACCGATAGCAAATAAATCAATGCACCATGGTGGATATCCCTATAGAACAACCATAAATCTCAACTATAGTTGGGTCCTATACAAACCGATACACCCTATAGAAACACCATACATCCCGATACAAATATCTATCGGTTTGAACAGGGTCTCTATGGGGTATTTTAAGCAGGGACGTACATAATATAATATATCCCAGTACGCCAAAGCTAGCCTACGGGCAGAATACGTTTTGCCGAATCGTTCGCGTGCGGCCCGACATACGTATTTCTTCCGGCGTGTATAACGGGCATGCCCGCCTGGCCAACTGTCGGGCATATCCGCCTGGCCGAATGTTGGCCATGTTTACTCGGCCGAGTGTCGGCTGTGTATAGTTGGCCGAGTGCCGGCCACAACTGCCTGGCCTATTCCGAGGGAAAAGGTGCTTACTGGGATATTATATACTAATAATTATATAATATACCTAAAAATAATAATAGTAAATAGTAAAAATAACTAAATACTTAAAGAAATAAGCCAATTAAACCCAAATAAATTTGTGTATAGTTGGCCGAGTGCCGGCCACAACTGCCTGGCCTATTCCGAGGGAATAGGTGCTTACTGGGATATTAATAATAATAATAAACATCTTTATTGGTTTCCCAACAGGCTATCGACCGTGGTCTTTCTGCCCAATTTTACAAAAAAAATTTATAAATATAATAATTGTTAATTCGTCACCTGAGAATTACAGCGTTCCATCCGCACTTTCCCCCCTTCACTCAGGCTAGTCTTGTTCTAAGTATTAAAGATGGATATTGCTCCATCTATATACAATTGGGGTACACGGAAAAAAAATGCGTTAGTTATTTTTATTATATGTGTTTAGTTAAAAAAAATTGTTATATTTATCGAAATTTATAATCAATTTTACAAAACCAAAAGGTTAATTTAATATTAATGTATAAGATTAAAAATACCTTAATGTTTTAATTGAAACATATAAATAGGTTAGTTCTTTTAATCAATTTTACAGTTATTGTAATTACAGAAAATAACAAAAATATTAAATTAAAAACAGCTGTAGTATTTAGTTATAATAACTAAATAGGTTTATAAAAACAACTACCTAGAGTTTGGTTAAATTCTGAAGATTATTTTTTAGACATCTGCCAGAGGAAAGTTAACGAGTTTTACGTTGTTTGTTTAAAGACATTGCATGTTTGCATAAGTGCGGTCGTGATTTTTGTGATTTTTAGAATAAGTAAGTAAAACAATTGTTAATTAATATATTTATAAAATTTAATGAAACATCTTGTAAATACAAGTTGTATATTTTTTCTTTCTAACTACTAATGTGATTCATAAATTTCAAGATCATAAAGGGTGTTCATCAGCCTATTGTCAGCACAATCCAAACAAGGTCTGTTTGATCTGTTCGATTTTTTATAAGCCTGTTTACAATTATCGTGCTGTAAGTTTGTGCTTTTTATACAAATTTATAAACGTTATTAGTTAGTTTTTATTGGTTTTATCGAGAAAAACCGTAATAATTTTGATAGAAGTAAAATTTTTACTGTTTGCCGCTATCTGTTAACATTAATCACAGATCGAGCACATTGTTGTATGAATTGTGTACAACAATGCGCTCGATCTGTCAGTTATAAAAGTCAGTGTTATTTTGTCACAGATAAACATGTCTTTTGAGTTGATGAAAGTAAAGTTAACTAGTTGGGGACTGGTACATCTAGTTGAAAAATTTCCAGGTCTAGAATATTTCATTAGGAAAGTAAATATTGGGTTTTAAAAGTAATAATTGTTTTTAGAAGAAGCAGTAGATGATGAGGCTTTTATTAGACTTACTCCTGCCCTTATTGACAAATTAGGATTGAAAGTACATAGGTAGGTGATTTAGCCAAGTTTAATAAAAATTTTAATGAATTTAAGAATAATACTTTGCTGCCTATTGACGATATTGAATCTTATTCAAGTAGTTCAGTGGAAAAAGATACCATAGAAAAAGATATTGTAGAAAATACAGTTTTGGGTATTTTATTAATGCAGTTTATTATTTGCTAAAATAACTTTTTATATTTTTTTTAGAGGTCATCCTTACACCCTATAACTAATGAAAAGCTTATGTAAGCTTTTCATTAGAGTTATAGGGTGTAGGGATGACCTCTAAAAAAATTATACACGTGATTAAATTTGATGATACGAAATGTTACTTTTAATATGATTAAAATAAACGATTTATTTTTTATTAACAAAGCGCCAAATATTTAATTTAGCCCAGTTCGTATTTTTCTACTTTTACAACGATTTGTTGCCGCACTACTTGTTTATTTAGATGTTAGAAAAGATCCTGAGGCTATATCTATAGTTTAATTTTTTAGTTTAGGGATTTTCAGTTTTAAGGTTTTAAAATACTGCTTTTTTTTATCGAAAAATTTATTTCATTAAACTAAAAAATTAAATATCCTCAGAATTTCCTTTTTATAAACAAATAGTTTTACCAATTTGCATGTATCTTAAGTTTATGATCTCTTAATATTTAAAAAAAATAATTATTTCATTTGTTTAGACATCCTTAGCATAAATAAAAATTATTTTATGACATAAATGTTTCATTTACGATTAAATATATGCATGCATCCTCTTTACAAAACTTTAAAAAGAGCAACAAAACTGTTTACTAAGAATAAACAGGTAAGTATAATTAAAACAACTATAATTTTAGATTAAATTTTAATTAAGTAAAATGATTAATTTAAATATTTAACATTTATTGTTACTATCATGTTTTCTTAGTTTTTTTTATTAAAAAATAATAATTAAAAGCACTACATTTTTTTACTGAAATAACAAATTATGTGAAATTAAAATAAACAATGATCGTTGAGTTAAAATAACCAAATTTTTCTGGTTAAAGAATAACTAAACTGATTGGTTGAATCAAGAATATAATTTTAACTGAACCCAGTTTAGTAAAAATGATTAAATAGTTCTGTTGGCGCATATATGATTAATTTTTTTAATTAAAATAACTAAACTTTTTTTTCCGTGTAGAAACTGTACAGTTTAAGCCTTAAACTTCACAATTTTTACCCCAACTACATATAGACAGATCAATATCATCCCCAAGACCCAAAACAAGACCAACCTGAATAAAAAAAAGAAAACGCAGACAGAACACTATAATTCTCAGGTGACGAATTGTAGTTACAATATTGAATTTATATAAAAAAAAAATAATAAAAACATATAAATCTCAAATATTTTAGTCTTCGTTAGTGATGTCCGTGATTATCTCCCATAAAGTTTGTGTAGGATATTTCCTTTTGGGGGGCAGGTTATGGTCTCTACCGTGCATTAAGTTTTCCATAATTTGTATGTTGTGGTGTTTTTTTGCAAATTGGCATGCCAGCTCCTTGAAACGTTCCAAAATGGGGGTGACCTGCGTTGTTTCGTATAGCAGTTGATTTGAAGGATTATGAAGTGGATTATCTGGGTGTCTCATTTTGGTGATTATTCTCAAACTACTCCGTTCAGCCACTTCTAGCTTACCTACAGTAGTTTTTTTGCAATTTAGGTAGATTAGGAAGGCATATTCAATAATGGGCCTGCATATCATTTTATAGATTTTAATCGCAGTTTCAGGTTGTATACCGTTATTTTGTATGTCAGGCTTCTGAAATGTTTGGCTCTTGTAATCATCTTGGTTTTCATTAATTTGGCATGTAAATTGAAATTGAGTTTGCTATCTAAATGTATTCCAAGGTATTTGCATGAATTAGATGGTCGTATTTGTTGATTAAAAATTTTTATAGAGGGGGAATTTATATTTATTTTGTGATTGAATATTATTAGTTGAGTTTTATTGGGATTTGGTTTTATTCTCCACTTGGAAAAAAACTGGATTATATTATTACAGAGATTTTGTAAGTGAATCAAAGTGAGTTTTAAATTTTTCTGGTGTGCAATTAAAGCTTTATCATCTGCGAATTCTAGAATATATGTGTTAGGATTAAATTGTTGAGGATAGATGTCGTATGTGAATAGGTTGTATAGAATGGGGGATAAAGGAGAGCCTTGCGGGACACCTTGTTGCATAGAAAATGATTTAGATAATTTTTGATTGTGTTTAACTAGACTCAGTCTATTTTTTAGGAAGTTATTTATAAAGTGAATTAGATATTTTGGACAATTTAAGCTGTATAATTTGTATAATAAGCCGGCATGCCACACAC